TCTGACTGGACCACAGGCCTTTGCTTTAGGGAAAAGCTGCCCGTCTGAGCTCAGTGACGGCAAACAGGTGTTCACTAAGCTGTCTCTAACCTGACTTCAACATCGATGCTGTTCCTCAGGAGCCAGCCACCTTGGTTTTTAAAATAAGGTCTCCATCTGGGGCTTGGCCAGCCAGCAGATTCCAGGGCTCCTCCCACCTCTGCCTTCCCAGCCCTGGGATGACGAGCATCTGTCACCATAGCTGGCTTTTTAAAAACTGAGGGTACTGAGACTCGAACTCAGGTCCTCGGGCTTTATATGACACTCCACGGACTGAGCCACCTACCTCCCAGCTCCTAAAACACGGAACTCCTCAGTGCCTAGGGTGAAGTGTGGATGTCAGTCGCCTTGGTCTTGACTGTGTCCCGGAGCCTTGACTACTGTTAAACAGGAAATCTGATCGAGGCCGGGGCACGGTTGCATAGGCCTGTAATCCCGGCCCCTCAGGAGGCTGAGGATCACAGTGAGTTCAAGGCCAGCCTGGGACACCCAAAATAATAATTCTGGTCCAGGAGCTGAAGAAGTCAGCATCAGCGGTTGTGTTGGCTACTATGTCAACCTGACACACAAACTGGAGTTATCCAAAGGGGCGGGGGGACATAATGGAGAAAATGTCTCCATAAGATCCAGCTGGTGGACATTTTCTTAATTAGTTATTGGTGGGGAGGGTCCATCCCATTGTGGGAGATGCCATCCCTGGGCTGGTGGTCCTGGGTTCTATAAGAACGCAGGCTGAGTAACCCATATGAGAAGTCAGTGAGCAGCACCCCTCCATGGCTTCTGCACCAGCTCCCGCCTCCAGAATCCTGCCCTGTGTTGAGTTCCTGTCTTCCTTCAATGATGAACAGCAGTAGGGAAGTAGAAGCCGAAAGCACCCTTTCCTCCCCAGCTTGCCTTTTGGTCCTGGTGTTTTCAGTGCACCAATTGAAACCCTGACTAAGACACTGGCATCTGGATCTTGTTTATAAGAAAACTGAACCCAGCTGCTTACAGTAACCCAAGAAAACCTGGAGACTGATGTGTCCAGGAGGGCATCGGGAGCACCAGAGCCTCCCAGCACATCCACATTTCTTCCAGTTTAGCTCCAGAGCTGGGTGGAAGCTGCTGAACTTGGGGAATCATGGAGCTGAGGCTGGCCCTCCCCAGAAGCCTTTGTGGCCCCCAGGTGGGAACGGGCCTCCTGCCTTGGGTCTCTTGTAGCCCCCCCCCCCCCCCCGGCATGTTGATCTGCCTTATCTCACAGCTATACCTGACTCCACTCTGGAGCTGTTGGCATCCCAAAGGGCAGAGCGGGCCTTGCCTTAGTGCCTGGCCCCTGGCCAGAGCCCCAAGGGCAGCCCCACGCTGTGATAGAGGCCTGAGCCCAGACTGCAGAAGGACAGGACAAAGGCGGGCCTGGCAGGTGCCTGGGCATCCGCGGAACAGCCCCGGATACCCTCCAGGACTGGCCGGGCAGCTGTTGAGCCCTGGCTCCAGGGGCACAGTATCTGAGCCAGTCCCAGCAGCTCCCTTCCGCGGGCCCAGCACGGCAACCTGGCCAAGCCCACAGCCTCTGCAAGCTGGGCAGAGCCTGCCAAGGACGGCCATTGCCATTTGTGAGCAGGTGCTCTGGCTCCATAGGAAAGAGCGTTCGCAGAGCATGGTGGGAAGGGATCCCGGGGGTGGAGGGCTTTTGAATAGCTCCAGAACGAGCCTGCGGATAGAAGAAATGGCCTGGGCAGGTGCACCAGGGCAGAGCAGTTGGCTGCCGGGTAAGTGCAAAGGAGAATTCCACCGAAGAAAGTCACCGTCCAAAGTTCCTGGCCGCATGAACGTGAGAGGTAAGGGAAACGGTGCCAGCGCGCAGTGTCGTGGTCTGCTCCCCGGGACAGACGCTTCTCTAATCCTTGCAAAGGTTGCCAGGCAGTGGGGAGGTGGAAGAGCAGCCCAGCAAAGGCCACAGAGAAGCAGAATCAGAGGCTAAATGGATGTGTGGAGCTGGAGCCCAATGAAAGGGCGCCCAGCAACCAAAGCTGTTGTCCCAAGTGCCCCCCAGTGGGCAGCCCCTGGGCCGCTGGGAAGGGTCAGGGAGCCCCAGTTATGGCAGCCCATCTGCTTCTAGGTCTCTGGCTTCACGGTGACTTGCCTCTAGAACCAAAGATGTCCTTCTCTAAAGACCATGCCTGGATTTCATCAGTTCCACCAACTCAAGCCAAGGTGGTAGGGAGCTTGTCATTGTCCTGTGGGAGGTACACTTTATTTCTCAGCCCTTCCCCCCAGCACCTCCCACTGTTTATTGGGGTCAGAAATACTGCCGGGGAATACCAGCTCCCCTGCAGATGGTGGGAGGTTGGATCTCATCTTCCTGAAGGACCTCAAAGCTGAAAGTGAGGTACAGCACCCCTACCCTGTAAAGGCCAGCAGATCAAGGTGGCCCCACTACCTGTCCCTGTACCCCCTAGCTAACTTCAAAATTTGAGCCATGCCTCCTGTGGCTCCCCATCTTGCTTAAGATCTGGGGACCCCGCGTGCATGTGCCCAGTGCTCATCCCTGCACACACACACTTGTGCCCGGTGTATGTGGCCCGGCATTTGCCTTGGCCTCAGCCAGCAACCCCACCCCCGGCTGGGGCCCCTCCCTCACCCCCCACTGCATTATCTTCAAGAGCAGGCCGATGTCTTCATCCAGGTCACTGCACACAAGGTGGTGATGTCCCCGGCCTGGCAGGAGCCGGCCCTCTGGGAGAACCTTCCTCAACGGCCAGTGGCCTTGAAGGTGCGGCTGACAGCTAGCCTGTGGCCTGCCCGGACCCTCGGGGACACCTGCCCTGCTGAACTTGCCCCTCGCCGTTCTGCTTCTGGCAGGGTGACAGCTACCTACTAGCCCCAAGGCCTACAGCACACTTTCTCCTCTCCAAGGCGGACCCAGTACCCATAGTGCCTAGCGGCGGGAATCCCGCTCTCAGCTCCTGCCGGCTCCTCTGCAACCTTAGAGGCACACCTTAGGGGTCACGCAGTGTCCTCCTCCTGGAAGCAGACTCAAGGCTTGATTTATAACAGTGCCTCTCCAACCTTCACACCTCCCTGCCGCCCGCAGCCCCTCAGGAGACTGGCAGGTCTGAGGTCAAAGTCGGGGCTCGTTCTGTGGTCCCCAACATCAGCTGCCGGCTGTGAGCTGAAGGAACACAGGCTCTTCAGGGGAAAGCCCCGCCTTTGCACAGGGCGGGTGTTTTTAATGCCTCGCTCTCACTGCAAGTGGTCATTCACTTCACAAAACCCGGCTTGAGAGCCCCATTTCCCTTCTCCTCAGTCCCCTGGCTCTGCACCAGGCTGCCTGCCCCGTGTCAGGCTCTCAGCGGCACGGCCTGGGCAGCGCGGTGCTCCTGCTCCTCCTCGTGTGTTGATGGAGTCTTCCTCATTTTCCCCTGCCCCTCTGGCCTGCACCGGACCTGGCTTATGGCAGTTAATTCACTGAGTTCTGGAAGGTTCTGATGGCGCAGTGTTTGCAGAAGGGCTGGACCAGGCCTTCTAGGTCATCAGCTCTCTAGGTAAAGCAGATGTTGGAGATCGGACAAGATGCTGGAGAACGCAGCCCCTCCCACCATGCACACAGGTCAGGGACACAGCATCGCTTTACCGCAGGCAGGAGCCTCAGATCCCAGGTCAGAGGCTGGAGGGCCTCTGTTACCTGCACGTTCCCTCTCACGTCCCGGTTCTGTCCTCTTTGGGCACTAGGGGAAGGCTCGGGAGTGACAAGTGGGTCGCATACCAGGCAGACAGGGCTGCCATGCCTGACACCAGTCCTGGCACTGAATTGGGCTTCCCACCTCCGGAAGGAACAGGAAGCAGGATGCTCCTGGTAGGACCCTTTTAAAGACCAAGTCAGATCCACAGGGGCCTGGCCAGCACCTGCCAGGACGGCAGAAACTGCCTCACGGCAGCCTTCTCCTCCTCTCCCAGCCCCAGGCCTCCACGGCATTTCTCCAGAAGATAAGTGACCCCGCCATACAGAAAACAGGTGACTTTGGCCACTGATGCTTTTTCCAGGGTGAAGTTTTTCCTGCTGCAGCTCCAGGCCAGGAAATAGCCTCGAGAGGCTGCCAGGGTCCCCACAGCTGTGGTTTCCTGCTAGGGGGCGCTGTTTCTGCAGAGAAGGGATGGGGCCGCGGATTTATCTCTGGGGTGCTCCAGTACGCTCTTTACACCCTGAAGTTTCATGCACTTGTTACACTGCCTCCAGCCTAGGGTAGCCTTAGCCAACCTGTCCTGCCCTCTTGGGGTTCTGAAACACTCCCCCACTCCTCTCCCTCTCTCCTCGGCCTCTGAGGCAGGAGCAGCAGGTTTTTAGCTGATCTCTGCTGAGAAGGTCCCAGCTCCTCACCTCACAGGCTGAGGCTATACTGTTAGTTACATATGCCTCCTTCAGTGTCTTCCTTGTCTCGTGAAAGCTGCCTGTGACACTCAGGTCAGCCCAATCTAGATGAAAGCTGATTTGATTTCTTTTTAAATAATTTTTTTCATTTTATTTCATATGCATTCATGTTTTACCTGTATGTGTGTCTGTGTGAAGGTGTTGGATCCTCTGAAACTGGAATTACAGACAGTTATGAACTGCCATGTGGGTGCCAGGAATTGAACCCAGGTCCTCTGGAAGAGCAACCAAGGGCTCTTAACCTCTGAGCCATCTCTCCAGCCCATTTTAACTATAGCTAGCACCAGGCAAGTTCAAAACCAGCAGGGAGCTGCCCACTCCCCCCTCCGAGAACCTTAGCTCTGTTTTTTCCCATCCTCAGCCTTGCCAGGGCTCCTCTCCTGACTCAAGGACTACAGACCTTCTGCATCCACCCTGGCCGTGACCCTACCTCTGCAGCCTCCCTGCTTCACCCTGAATGCCCTCTGGCCATACCTGGACCCTTCTGCCCCCGCCCAGCCCCAGGCCTCTTAGGGCTGATAAAGGTCAAGAGAACACAGAATTCCTCAACTCCAATGGAAGCCGCTTCGGCTTTGTGTTTTAATAATTTAAGTCCGACACCTGCCCATGCATCCAGACCTGAACCCTCGGGCAGGCTCTAAGCTGGGCAGACTGTGCCTAGGTGGGATGGCCACCCCAGTACACAGCCTCCCTGGCTGCTGCCCACCCACAGCTGCCACCAGGGAGGTCTGGACAGGAATCCTGCAGCTGGGGGACAGCCAGACACCAGCTGTAGCCCTGTCTCCGAGCTGGACAAGAGAACAAAGACCAGCCACCCCCCCACCCCCCACCCCCTCCCCCAGGCCAGGCTAGGCTGCAACAACTGGTCTAGGCAGGGGAGGAGGCAAAGGGCTGGCTGGGCCGGCCTCCACTTCTGCACCCTTAGTACCACGGCCACACTTACTGAAAACAATGGCAGTGGGTTTGTGTTGGTTTTTTTCAACTTTGTGTTGATCAGAAAAATTTCCTAGAAATTCTTAACATTCTGGCTCCCAGGACCTCTCAGATGTTTTCATACCCAGAAGGGGCTCGGAACTCTTAACAGGCCATCCTTCCCAGGGCTTGGTTTGGAATGTGCACTCTCGGCTGTCGGCTGTGCCGAGACACTGAGCCCCCTCTGGATCAGGAGCAAAGGTGTAGTAGTCACATGGAAACCAGGCAAGCCACAGCTGAAAGAGACCGGCACAAGGCCAGTGTGGCCACTTTGTCTCTGGTGTGCCGGAGGCGGGGAGGCTTTTCAGTGAGTGTGACCAGGGGGTGAGGCCAGCTCTCAGGGACCAACCCATGGGACACATCCTACCCCTTCTGTCATGGAAGAAGACCATTATTTTCTTTCCCCAGATCTGCATAAGTTAGTGACCTTAACTGAAACACACACACAGGCTCTTCGTCTCTTCCTGCAGGTGGCCGATCAGAACAGCTCTGCCACAGCCCGGACAACTAGATTGCACCCTGATCTGTGAGCCGTACTTTCCATCCACAAATTATCTCCGAGTGTCGCATTTCCAGCCCCTTCTTCCCTGTGGGGTCAGGGCTTCTCAGGGAGTGTCCGTGAGAGGAACAGTACTTCTGGGTCACTGGGGAACAGGCCTCTGTCTCAAGACACGAATTGACAAGCTCTCCACGTGGGCCAGTAGCTCCTTGATGTGAGCCAAGCCCAGCCCAGCAACCTTGGCCCCGTTCACCTCCAGGATCTCATCCCCTACCCCAAGCAGCCCCGAGTACAGCTTGGCAGTATCCAGGTCAGCCATGGCCTGCACATAGAGCCCTGCAAAGGAGAAGAGGCGAGGAGGTGAGAACTCACAGAGGGCACAGGGACACACGCCCCTCACAACCGCCTGCATGGAAACATGTCACGTGGCCCTCTTCCCCGCCTCCCCAAGCATAACCTCATTCTCTGTAGGCTCTTTCCAAAGAGGAAAATCCACGCAAATGATGCTTAAAGACATCCTTCATCTACAGTTAGTAAGAATAGACTGATCTTACCCTTTCTGATACTCAGCTTCTAGGGTAAAGAGGAAGTCCTCTTGACAGTGAAGACCATCACGTGCTGTGTGCCCTGTCTGTCTTGCTCAGGACTCATAAATAGATGACCAAGGTGGGGGACAGTGTCACCAGAGTAATGGAAGTGGCTGAGAGCAAATCTGCTTCACAGTGCTGTCCGGGACTCGCCCTGGCCTCGGCCTCAGCCACACAGTTCCTCGCTTGGGATTTCGGGCATCTGGGCCAAAGTCCAGGAAAAACAAACATTCTGCCCACATTCATGGCCCACTCGCCTCTTTTTCTTGTACCCTTCCGTCTCTGCCACCCCGAGAGTGGCCGACAGGATCATTCCTTGGGTTGTGAAATGTACGGATCAAGCCTATCGGGGACTTGTGGCTGGCTCTCAGGAAACCCGTGTTGTGGGAGAGGCTGTGGGGGCTGTGGGGGCTGACAAGGCAGGCCTCCAGGCGCGGCTCCCACAGCAGAGGAGCGTCCAGCTGAGACGCAGCCATCTCTCAGGTTCTCGGTCAGCTGTCCCCATCTGACAGGGTACACAGGCCAGTTCCTCTGGAGAAAGCTGGAGCCTGCTACCATGTCCTGCTGTGTGAGCACAGCCCCCTGCCAGGACAGCAGGGGACAGCCTTTGTGGGTGACTGTCCTGCAGCTCACAATACAATGGGATTGGGGGCCAGCTGAGCTCAGTCCTGACCCCTTCACCAGCTGGCTGAGAAACAGAGCAACTGCCCACGTGATAGCTTCCCTTCCCCAGTCAGCTGCTTAGCACGAGCCAGGCAGGATGCTGTTCCGGTGACCCCATCTCTGGCTTGGAGCATCGTGGACTATGGAAAGTGGTACCTTAGGCCACAGACCAGGAAGAGCCCCTTCACTGAAGCCTCTGGGCCCCAGAGATGCCAGGCTCTGAATACAGACTCTACAGCTCCTTCACCAAGGCACCTGGAAGTTGGTGGCCATTGGCTGCTCTGAGTTGCATCCACACTTCCTCTCCTGTCCCTTTCGGTGAGCCTTTCCAAAGTGGGGCTCGGTCATTTAAATGACCGAGAGTGTACCATCCTTTGGCAGAAGGCTTTTCCACTGGGGCCCTGCCCCTCCCCTTGATCTCCTTCCTCTGAAGCTCGAACAGCTTATCTGCTGGGTCTACACACTGTCAGCATGGAGAGAGGGAGCCGCCCCTGCCCCCCCACATGAACCCACACGAGTGTTTGGTGTGCAGGAGGAGAGGCAGGTGGGGGTGGGGGGAGAGATGACAAAACCCAAAAGAATGTAGCCAAGCCAGACCAGACACTGATGTCATCACTCCAGCCATTTTGGGGAGGCTTCCCAGCTGAAATCGTGACTGCGAGGCAGGCGACTCTGGCATTTATGGTCTGCTGGAGACAGCCTTTGTTAAGGATGTTAGATGCCTGTGTCGTAGCCGGTTGGAAGCAGAAGGCAGGGCCTGCTGTTCTCGTGGGTGTGGTGTCAGATGGGACACATGCTGGCATCCTGATGCCAGCATGCCTGATGCTTAGCAAGGAGCCAGAGCAGCCTCCAGCCATGGCTTCTCTGAGGTTCAGGTCCCGCAGCTAAAGGAGGGCCCATGGTGGGAACAGCGGCAGTCACCACACTCACTGCCTGAGACCCCTGTGTGACATCTGGTGGCCAAATACAGCCGCAAGAGTGGGACACCACATGGACAGGACCATCCAAGTAAGGGACACAGAGACAGCCTGGATGGCACTGTCTGGTCCCCCAATGTCAGTTCCCCATGTGCACTGACATCTGATCCTCCCTAGGTCCAGCCTGGGGGAGGCCCACCCCATCCGTTCCCATTCCCAATCCCCCTCTCTCTCCCATCAAGAAGTTCAGGTCACACTAACTGGAACTCAGGCAGATTCAGGCCCCTGCTAACCTCCTCCCCAGCCACCACGGTGCCACCTGATACCGTGTCTGTCTCCTGGACTGTGGAAGTCAGTTTAGGGCCCGTCCTCGTCCCATTGTGTATTCTCAACACAGCTGCCAACTCACCCCTCTGCTCTAAAACCTCTCCCAGGAGGTGGTTCCCGTCCTTCTCAGCGAGGACAGCACAGCCTGCAGCCTCTGGGCTCAGCTCTAGCCTGACCTCGTTTTCCTAACAAACTCCACGGGCCCTTTAGGACTTCTCTACTTGAATCTCATCTCTCGACTCCAGAGGGCTCCCCTCTTCTCCAGTCTATCTCCACTGCCGCCATCTCACGCCAGTCTCCACAGCGCCTGCCATGCCCATGTGCATCCTGGTGCTTTTCACTATGCCACGTTCTTCATACAGAATACATGAAGGAAACACGGAGAGCCGGCCCAGCACCCTAGCTGGAGAGCATGCTCGTGAGGTCAGAGGTCTGTGTGCTCCGTGTGGTGCTGTAACCCCAGGATCCACAGTACTTATGAGTAGGCACCTGAATGAATATGTGTGTGTGTGTGTGTATGTGTGTATGTGTGTGTGTGTATGTATATGTATATGTATATGTATATGTATATATGTATGTATGTATGTATATATATATATTCCTGAAAGATGCTGAGTGATGAACGTGAGGACAGGTGTAAGAACACGTGCTGTGTGCACACTCAGCATGAGGAGGGCTTTCTCAGGTAACCAGCCTTGGCCTAAGAGACACAAGAGCAGGACTACCCCTCCTCAGCAGGGCCCAGGAGCACAAGCTCCTGAGTTTCCGAAGTCACCCCTCCCCCGCTCCAGCTGCCCGCCCTCCCTCAGCCTCCCTCCCCACCTTCCCCACTTAGCATAGCCTGTGGATAGCTTTCAGGGTCTCTTGGACTCAAAGGCATTCTGGACCACAGGCTTTGGCCTGGGCAAGTCAGGTGGCCACCCACGGAGGACTCGTGGATGCAGAGGGACCAAGAACTGGTCAGCATGCAGTGACAGTGGGATTGAATTAGGACACAGCAGGCAGCCTGGCCAGGTGCCTGGAGCCGGGAGCCATCTGAACAAAGCCCTCAAGGAGCTGGTGAGGGAGGGCTGTGGACAGGATTGCAGACAGACAGGCAGACCCACTCCACATGCCCAGACACACCAGCAGCTGGAGGACGGGAACCGTTGAAATACATCAACCACATCAAAGGACTAGCCGAGAACTGGCAAGCACAGACAGTTTCCCTTTGCCTCTCTGGAAAAGCCTTGAGGACTCTGATTTCAAGATGTCACAGGACGGCAGGGGGACAGTCCAATCTGCCAGTTCAAACCCACAGCAGTGGGGGCCCCTGAGACCTGACACCCCGTCAGAGCTTCTGAAGGGACGAAGGGAGCCTTTCTCCGCTGCTCAGCCAAAGCCCAGAAGGAACCTGGCCACACCCTGGGCACTTTGCCGGGGATCCCAAGGGCATACCTGAATCTCGACGGCCATTGCCGTAGGCCACACGGAAACCAAAGGTGCCCTCTGGGGGTCGTTGGAGCTGCAGCTGACTCGTGCCGTCTGGGAACACCTCCACCACGCGGCCCACGGTGCGAGCCAGGCTAGGGGCACCCACGTCTTCCACGCTGAGGGCACGATGGGACAAGGCCTTGGCCGGCCTACAAGGAGACAAAAGACAGTAACGGTAAGGTCAGGCACCACCAGGGCCAGCTCTTTGTCGGCCCTACGGGGCCTGCACCTCTGACGCAGGAACCTGACACTAGAGGTTGGGGGCTTCTCTGACCCCAGCAAAGTGAGCTCCCCAGGGTGGAGACGGGCACTTTCCACATGTGCTGCGCCTCAGGGCAAAGGGTTGAAACAAGGACCGTGGTTTCTAACGTTTTCAGGAGGAGGCGTCAGAGCATTAGAGGGAAGCTATAATTTTACACAGTGTTTTCAGGAGTTATCCCACCCTCCCCGGCCCAAAGTCCTTCCATGAAGCCTTGGGTGAAAGCCGACAGGCAAGAGGACCTGGGCAGAGAGGTCAGGAACCAAGGGCCTCTTTCCTTGGGGGCTCTTGTCTCTGGGAGTTTAGAAGGATCTTTAGCTGCATTTCAAGAAACTCTGCACATTCAGGATGTCACTGGACAGCCGCGGGAGAGAGGCGTCAAGCTTCCCAGCAGCACCTTCCTGCAAACCTACACCTCTCAGTGCTCACCCGCACAAGGCAAGGGCACCCAGGTGTCATTCTGAGACCTTAGCATCACTTCGGCTCTCCACACCCTGCCTCACTTCTCTTTAAAGGGGCAGCCTGGCTCACGGCTGTGGTTCTGAGGAAAGAGAGGACTAAGTGTCTAGTTCCATGGGCCACTCTGAGTTTGTCCTACAGGCTCTTGTGCCACACTTACCTGTTCGGTGTACTGGGGTCCCCTGAACCCTCCACCAGGTAGAGGCTGGACCGGTCTCCCTTGCCACCTAGCAGAGAATGGAGGTTCTGAAAGGAAGTTGCTTTCCGATGCTGGTGAGAGGGTGACACCTAGTGGGCAAGGTCCAATATTGCAGGTGAGAAAAGCGGCCTGGGAAAGGGTCAGCAACAGAGGATTTGCCGGGACCCCAAACCTGAAGCCACTCTAAGAAAGCATTGGTACGCGCTTTGGTCAGCACATCTGCATGCCTAGCCAGAGTCAGCAGAACAAGAGATGGGACTACACAGGCATCCAAAGCAGTAACTTAGCATTAGGCTAGCCCTTTCTCACTATGAGAATCTACCCAGCACTCAGAGGCTGTGGCAGGAGAATCATGAGCTTAAGTCACATAGGAGACCTTGTCCAAAGGAAAGGGGCTGGGGGCGTGGCAAACTTGATATGACACATCTTAGAGCAGAATGCTTCCAGCTGGGAGTGGGGGTGAGTCTGGTACCCTGATAGCCCCAGGAGCTTGGAACCAGTTCCTTGAGTAGAGACATTCCGGTCCAGAAAGTATGGGGACAGAGCAGGAAGGAGCTGGTTCTTGAGTGAGGCTGTGAGCAGAGCTCTCTAGTGAAAAGGAAGGCACAGGTGCCCA